TATGCAAGTGTGGAAGCACATCAGAGGAAAAATATCCCTTGCAAAGCATGGCTCTTCAAATGCCTTCATATTCTAAATATGACAAGTAACAAATGCCTTCATATTCTAAATATGACAAGTAACATCTTAAAAATGAGGTCCAATTTTTATGCCACATGTTTGTGTAGTCCCATAATCTTTCTGTGTACAGTGCTTGTTACTTTACCAAGACTGCCTATTTTCTGATCATTGTGATGACTCCAGAACCTTGCAGTACACATCAATGCTTATATGCTACATGATAAACCTTTTCGAATCGATTCCACAGCGTTTCTTTCACAATGCAATCGCATGACCAGAACTCAACTTTACCTTTAAAGGCGGTATTAGCGCTAAAAAAGCTATTCCCTGTAGGCATAGCTAAGCAGGTTAATGAGGGCAGCTGTTTCTTGCAAGGCTCTTCATGTGGTATGCTCCAGACTGATTAGAATGAGAGATCAATTCTTGTTGAATGTCACCAGATAGGCAGGGATATGGGCTCGTTTCATGTCTTCTTTAAATATTAGTCTATAACTCTGTTTTACTACAGTGAAACCTGTATATAAAGACCGCTGAAGGGACTCAACTTAAGTCGTCTTAACTGGCTAGTGGTCTTTATGTACACGATCCTTTAATTCAAGTTTCTTAAAGTAATGTAGCTATTTAGCTGTAGTGGCACAAAAAGATGTGTTCGGAACACAAAAGGCAAAATAGTTTGTGACGTCTAATACATATTTTGTTGTTGTTGACATATCTGAATGAAATTTAGGTAAGTTTTAGCCTAATCAATACAATACATGTATTTACTCATGTACATGAAGACCAACTGCCAAGAAAGACCACTTTTCTTGTCTCCCTTGAGCGTTCTTTGTACACAGGTTTCACTGTATTCTTAATTTCTTATCACACACATTGTAATTGTCTTTCATGTTTTGCATGGCTTTTTTATAAGGAGAGCACAGTTATTAACTTGTTGAATTAGACTTGGGCACATACTCTATAGACCCAAGCATGAGCATTCTGAAGCTTAGCATTCAATGGGTTTTATTGAAATAACGTCTGCTCAGAGCCAGAAGGGTGTTAATTTTGTGTTAGGGTATATGAGTTAACGCCCTTTTGGCTCTAAATAGAGGATATGATCTTCATAAGATGTGAATGTATTCTTACTTTTCTCTCTCTCTCTCTCTCTCTGTCTGTCTCTCTATCTCTCTCTGTCTCTCTCTATCTCTCTCTCTCTCTCTCTCTCTATCTCTATCTCTCTCTGTCTGTCTTTCTCTATCTCTCTATCTCTCTCTGTCTCTCTCTGTCTCTCTGTCTGTCTGTCTCTCTCTCTATCTCTCTCTCTGTCTGTCTCTCTCTGTCTGTCTCTCTATCTCTCTCTGTCTGTCTGTCTCTCTCTCTCTCTATCTCTCTCTATCTCTCTCTCTCTCTCTCTCTCTCTCTCTCTCTCTATCTTTCTCTCTCTTTTTCTCTCTCTCTCTCTCTCTGTCTGTCTCTCTCACTTTCAACTCTTTCCATTGTATAACCATTAAATTGTATGTTGAGAGTCAGAAAGCTGTTAACCCATCATACTTTTACATGCGGAAACATCCTCGCTCTCAACAGGCGATATTTACAATGTTGCCAATTTGCTCTTGAGTTTGTCATAAATTTGACATATTGACTAGTAATATGCTCATGTGGATTGGTTTAAACTATAAGTAGCCATTTACATTTTACATGTAGATGATTATGCCCTTTAGAAATGAATTGTCTAGATAAGGTAAGATAAGATTAATTGAAAAGGTAAAAATAACCTAATGTAAGGCTAAGCTCATCAAAAACCATTTGATACTGCAGGTGTTAACACTGTCTTAAATTAAATGAGTTAATGCCTTTCTGGCTCCATACAGACGATATAAATGTACAAGTAGCACTCATATCTACACTATACTTATGTGTTCAGGCATTTTGATATTAGTGTTGCAATAAACACTAGTTAGTGTTGCATGTCACTAATCATTGCACCTAACATAATATTTCATACATATCAATTAACATAATGGACTTGTATATCATGCATCCTGAAATGCAATTGCCTTCGGGTATGCAGCATACATGTAAATGCTTCCAAATGCATTACAGAAGGGTGTCTAACCACTTTTCAGGGTCCTATGCATGCACATGTATTCAGTGAGGTGCAGGTGAGAAAGGGTCACATTCTGAATATCATCACATGTGGTCAACTAACCGATCAACCATACACAATTATGATGCTGCACCGAGCTCCCCGCGGAAGGCTCGCACAATGATCTCCCCGCCCTAGCTGCACCGGGGAAACGCAAACGATATGAAACGGTCATGATGTTGCGAGTGTTTGTAATAATGCCGTGAGTCAAAATGAGTCACTTCACTGACTATTGGCACTAGGGAGAAGTAATAAGCAAATGTCAGGCATCATCGCTGCCATATTTGTGTATATTTGCTCACAGATGTATGTGTATTTTGTTATGTGTTAGTTCATCAACCCATTTGTAATGCTTGAATTGAATTTGCTCAAAATGAGATGTATGACAATGTAAAGAAGGATACGTTTGCATTTAATTGCTTTACAGTGAAGATGCCTGGCTATTAGAGATCTGGTAAATACCTTTATAGTACAAGCTTGGAAGCTGTGCCATGTATTGACAAGAAATATGAAGCTGTGTAGTAGTTTTTCCCTTTCCCCCTTTTTTGCAAGGGATAGTTGTCTTTACAGTTCGGTGTTCAAACTACTTTATCCAAAATGGAAATTACAACTTATTCTTTTACATGTTGAAAATAACATTTACTAAAAACCAAAGACACTGATATGTATATGAGGGACTACAAATGTAATTGGGTTTGATAATGTTTGATAATTCTAAATATATGAACAATGATTTTCAGACAAGTTCTCATTAATTTGTATTACAAGGAGTAGATGCATTCTTTAATAGCGAAGCATAGTTGAAAAAACAGCTCAATACCTTCGATTTTAAGAACTGGCGATCCACCTTGTTGTCTGGCTATTTCATGTGATGTAGAGTACTGAACCTTTGAATGAGGTTATGGGGTCAAACAACTAGTACACCTGCGCATAGCAAATTAAACTGGTTTGTCAATCAGGTCACTCAGGTGTCAGCCAGAATGGCAAATGGGAGTTTGCAAAGTTGTGATAGTAAAACGTTGTTGTGTTATGACAAATGCTTGTGTGGCAGTTGCTTTACGGTGATTGAGCTTTACACCATGTACTTAACTTTGACCCTGTTCTTAACGTTATACCTCACTCTAAAAATTAAAAAAAGATGGATCACCGAAAGCATATCATAATTGCATTTACACTAGAAGTAATGAATGATGTCATTATCATACAATGATACATTCATGTTCTATTTTTTATATAACCATGTTTATTCACAACTGATCTCTCAAAATTTGACAGAGCTAGAAATGTTTATGTCGCAAAGTGGCGGTATTGGCATTATGTTAATTTTCTGAGGCTAATATTTCATGGAACAGAGGAAGTGTACATGCAGAAAAGAATAGCACCCCACATGTACCTTTTAATGTACAGTCAACCTGTCTATAGCGACCGTCCAAGGGAAACACAAAAGGTGGTCTTTGTAGACAGGTTCCTTTAGTACATGTTTCAAAGAGAAACCATTTTTAAGGGAAACAAAAAAAGTGGTATTTGTACACAGGTGGTCACTAAAGCAGGTTTGACACTACATGTATATGTTATTTTGAAACTTCATAGCATCATAAACGATGTATTGTCTTTTTACGCCGTGGCCTCTAAAATTCCCAAAATAGAGCGTAAGATGAGAGCCATGCTCTAGGCTAAATGCCACATTTGCAATCATCACGGAAATCTCTTATCAAATTATTCCTCTCTGATAAAGAAATTATCAATCCACAATTGAGTTATATTTGTCTCCGTTTCGGTAAGACAGCCCAGCCGTCCGTGCATGGTAGCAAGGAGAGACGGTATGTCAGGATCGCAAGGCATATGGACTTGTAGATGAGAGTGAGAAGGAGTGCTAAAGTCATGAATAGGGTAATATGATAGGTTCACCGTGCATGGAGAGCAATCCGCTGGCTCCATGTGAATCCATTGGATGCGGTACAGATCGGAAATGTTGATAGAGAATGGACGTGCGGATGTCTAATAGATGCTCCGGTTTTTATCGGTAGCTACGTGTGCAGAGGATACTAGGATGTGGATACGCTTAGGATGTGTTAAACTAGCCTTGCACGTGCCAAACAAACTAGCAAAATCACCTGGTTTATCAATACAGTCTGCTTGCAACCAACATTGCAACACTATAAGAGCATAGTACACAAAAATTACACTAGCAATTAAAAAGTCATCCTTGTTTTCTCAATCTCTCCAGTTGTTTTTAAGTAAACATATAAGCGTCCGAATATGAAAGAGGTTGAGACCTTGTTAAACCTATTGAACAAGATTTTATTTTATTTTACCATGCAGTCCCATTGGTTCCAGCGTAAGTCAACACACCTCATCTCTTGTTGCATTAGACTGCAGTGCAACAAAAGAGAAATGAACTCTATTCTGAGAATCAAAATTTATTTGAATTTCAAACTTTATAGCTTAGCTTTTTATGACTTCAAAAATTCAAATTGATGCATATATAGCATTTGAGCTAATGATGCTTTTTATAACATATTTCAAAACTTCTTTAGTATAAAAGAGGGGAACGAGTGGTTTTGATAGGATGATATTTTTTCTTTAATTTATGAACCAACAAATGAATGTGTTTGTTATTTTCATGATATTTTGAACCCCTAGAGGGTAAAAGAGGAAGCAGTGGTTTTTGATCGAAGGATAATTGTTTTATAGACCTTCAAACCTGCAAATGAATGTAAATGATGTTGTTTTCATGACTTAGTTTATAACCCCTTAAGGATAAGGACAGGAAATAGCGGTTATTGATAGCATGGTTATTTTGTCTTGACAGATTACCACGCTGGTGAACCACAAGGAGAAATCGAAGCGATCGGAGAAGACTTGCCGTGCCATCGAGCGTGTGGGTCAAGCTGTGCACCTCGCCGTGGAGAAGTTCGTCGCCGTGGGCGAGACCATAGCCAATGACAACTATGACATCAGAGAGGACATGACAGCTGCCTGCAGGGAGGCCAGACTTGCAGGTGAGAGGAGTTCTACTTGAGGGGGCAACCTCATTAGTAGTGGGTTGTACGAACCACCGTAGAATAGCCACCCGTGGAAAGATGTAGGTGGGACCATGGTTAAAGACCCGGGGAGACGGGTAATGGATGGGTAAGATGAGTTCTACTTGAGGAGGCATTGTCATAAGTAGGGAGAAACTTCCAAAGAATTCCCACCCATAGCTATTTGCCTGAATGATGTAGTTTGATTAAGATAAAAGATCTACATGTAGGGAAACAGACCGATAGGGGTAGTAACATGAGTTCTACTTGAGAAAGCAACCTCATTAGTAGTGGGGTATACAAACCTCCATAAAATGGCCACCTGTAGATGTGTGCCAGAGAGATACTGTTTTACCAAGATTAATGGTGTAGGAAGATCGGGGGATAAACAAAGTAAGATGAGTTCAACTCTAGGGGGCAACCTCAACCTCCATAGTAGTGGGGTTTACCAACCTTCATAGAATTGCCACCAATAGATGGTGGGTAGATGTGTGCCAGAATGATACGATTAAAGATCTGGAGAGACAGGTTAAGGGGTGAAGTTAGGATACCTCTTCACAAATTGATCATTAGTGGGATTTTAACCTTCATAAGTTGGCCACTTGTTGATGAGACAAAAAAGGTAGATTTACGAGATTATAGATCAAGGAGGAGATGTTCATTGTTCAGGGATTTTTACTTTCAGCGGCAACCATAATAGTAGCAGCATATACATGTATACAAATCTCTGTAAGGGCCACCCATAAATGTGTGCCAGAAAGATGTGTTTATTAAAAGCAAGTACCTAAGCATGAAGGCGAACGTTTAAACCAAGGGCTGATTGACTTTTAAAAACTTGCAGGCAATATCGAAATCGAATTATTTAATGTTTTATAACAGACTAAACATTAATAACTTTTCTAAAGGAACTGCAGAATTGTAAGTTTTCCCTAATAGTTACCATATCTTGCAACTAATGTCATGGGAGTAAAATGTCATAGCTTGACTTGACAGTAAGTTAAAATTCAAACAAAATTCCCTGACTGAGAGGCCTCACAGGCAAAGTTGTCTCATAGACTCTCTTTTTTTCTTTTTTTTGCCAAACGTCATCTATTTTTGACAAGGCTTCAAGTAGCGGGTCACGTAATAATTGCCCCTGCGTAACCTCATTAGTTCAGCTCTATATACTTCCAAATCTTGAGGCAAGACAAGGATGTGTGATGTCAAACACAAGATAGCTTCACACTCCAAGACCCTGTGTGTAAGAGGCGAGGACATGTCTGGAATGCCATATAAAACTCTTAAAGATGCATCGATGGAAAAAACTAAACTGTTCATACCCTTACCAAGTTTTGTAATTCTTGTTATGTATGTGAAAAATTGGTTTGTCCCGATTTATGTTTCTTGAGAACGTGACATATTAAAGCTTACATCTAAAAGTATTCAACAAAGGCCCCAATTCAACCTGTCCACCTTTCATTCTTGTGTTTAATGCCAAAAACACTCAAAAAATCTCAAATTTACAAGAGATATGAATAATTTAGTTGATAAGTGTAACTGTATTTTCAAGATACTTTTATTAGCCTTCATATTATCATTTTTTCAGGTGCATATGATGTATGTTGGATTAGTAAGATTTAAAAGATTTTTTGCACCTTTTTTTGGAGAATACTCCTACTAATGTGGAAAAAACTATGTACCGGGTATGCTTTTTGCGAATCCACCCCTCCCCTCCCATCAGAATGGAATTTTTATCATCAGTTGGCTTAGGTCTTCTGCAACATCTTAATATCATATTAAAATGCCTATCTTTTTTAAGTTTATGTATTTTGCAATAATTTACAATGATATACTCTTGAAATGGAGATGTTTTTTTAAACACAATTAGTGATTCTCTTGAGTTATTTGTGAAACAAGAATGTGCACTAGTCTTTGGGGAATATGATATCATTAGAGTATGTTTTATGAACTCTTGTCTGAGCATCTCCATGGTTACCGATGTTTCCCAAGAAAACTCATTTTTTGTTACCACCTGGTGGAGAGGTTGACAGGTACTGCGGCAGACCAGGCTGTACATGCAGTCTTTGTCCCTTGCAGACATCATTAGTTTACTTCCCCAAGCATTCACTGTCATATTCTTGAGGAAAGGCCAGTAGGAACGGATGAAGATGTACATCGTGTGATATTATTGGACCTTGTAAGGCCAAATAATTATCGCAATAGTAGTGAGACAAGTGAGACACGATCTTGCGGGCAACTCCATTAGTTCAGCGTCTATTGCTGGAGCCTTAAGGCAAGACTAGAGGACTGGGATCTACTTTTTCCTTCCACTTCTAATTCAGATAGTTTTCATTCCTTGTCAGAAGGAAATTTACAAGTATGTGGTACACCTTTGAAGTTTGCATTTATCTTCTTCCTTCTCAAAAGAAACCAGTTTTTCTCATTAATTTATTCCAGTATGAATCAATTACCACCCTTTACAATTTACCGTTACTATTATGTGAACATATCAGTTAGTGTGCTTCCAACGATAATTTTATTTTGTCTCGAGTTTATAGTCATTCGGTCTTTGATAATATTTTGCAATTGTCTGAAGTAGATATGAAATTACACACCTTCCCACACTCCAAGAAGCGTACATGTAATCTTGCACCCATTACGTGACCTCCTTTTCACCAAGTTTAATTTCCATACCTCAAGCTTCATTATTCTGTACTTGTACTCTATTGTTTACGTATAAAGTAATGTTTTAACTAGTTAATATTCACCGTCACCAGATCTGTAGGTCAGTTTACGTTTATAATAGGATTTGTCCTAAATCTCCTGAGAAAGATGGATGTTGTGCATGAACTGGTGGCAACGGTGGGATTTTGGCACACTTTGTATATAGAGATTCATTTCGGTTCATTTTTTTTTGTCAGGGTAGAAACTAGATGCTCTGTATATTATTACCCTAGGTAGTTATTATGAAAATGAAACTGTAATAATAATATTCTGCTTTTATATAGTGTTTAATACATCTATGATGTCGCTAAGCAGGGACACTCCGATTTTGACTAGTAGAAAAACGGTTGATAATTAATTGATCGTAATTGATGATAATCTAAGCTGACTGTTTTCTGAGTGAAATTTCCGGGATGGAAGATGTGATGTCGGTAGTAGTTCATGTCGGCATATATTACCAGGCACCTTCCAATTGTAATGATGTGTGATGGTTTAGTGGTAGACGATGGTACATGTGGAAACCTGCAGGTCCCAAGGTCGAAACTGAAGGTGACATGCTAGCTAGTGCCCATTGTAAAGCATAATTCTGTACAATCGAGACCCGCAGAAAGGACTTCAGGTTGTTTGGCTTAGCATGCTTTTTTGGCAGTCGTGTGAAATAGAATAATCAAAAACTTTAATAATCTTTATGCTCATCTGCACTAACTGATTGAAAACAGAGGGTTGGACATGGATCATGAAAACAATTATCATGACTATTCCTCTCTTTGCATATTGTATAGCGTTGTAAATCCTGCAAGCATACATCTTGCTATTTCTTTGTCATTAAGTACCTGATTAAATAGAACAACCTTACAAAGCCTCTGCTAATGCCCTCAGTTTGGGTGAACTTGCAAACTACTTTACAGATTGTGTGAACTTTTAAAGTAGTTTCCAGTCTCTCCTTATAACATTACAGATCCTCCGAGGTTGTTCTAAACTAATTTTTTTGCTTCCACCGCATTGGTTACACCTGTCTTCCAACTGAACGCTTTGGCAAGACGTCAGTTCCATCCATCGTTCACACATTATGCCTTCATTAACAGATCAATGAAGCAATCACTTATGGGTCAGCATATCATAACCAAATGAAGGATGTATAATCCCTGAGATGAGTGTTGTAAGCTTGAATGATTTCATCTTTCAGAACCCGAAGTGGGTCATCGGACCGTAACAGTTTTGTCATGGTGGCACAGATCTTAGAATAGCGGCTCTTGCTGCTTGGTGTTCTGGACACAAAGTGTCATTGCACCTGTACCATGTGTTGTTTAAGGAATTCTCAAATATTGGAGCACAAAGTTCACAAACTTTCCAGTTTCCTTGAAAGAAATGCTCTGAAATCAAGGTATCTATATGGTTGGAATATATATTGGGGGAAACAGTTTTTCAACTGAAGGTTTCAGGCCCTGTTATATTTGTATTACTGCTTTTTGAAAGATATAATCCTGTAGGCTGTGGATTTATAATATTTTATATGGAAAGGGACAAAGAAGCATTGTGGGTAATAATTTTAATCTGTACCACCTGAACAGCATTAAACAAAATTCTGAGTTCAACACCCAGTGATGCTGTATCAACAAAAAATGTCAATCAAGTGTCGTTTCTTGAGGCAATTGTTGAGTTCCCAGTCCTTCAAATGGGACTTGTATCAGGCTTCATGATTGCTTTCAGAATTTTCTGAAAATGATTAAAGGGTTGTACTTCAACAACTACATGTAAATAAGATACAATTGATGAATCAAACAAAAAAGGCATCTATTTTTGAGGGGGGGGGGGGTGCAAATATATGTATGAATGTTCTCTTCAATCATGAAACTGCAAATTATTAATTTTTGGATTGCTAAAAGCATTGGAGCCAGAGAAGTCTAACGTGATGAGAAAGGCAATAATACATGCACTGCATCAGGGTTTATTACTAAAAAAAGATGTGACTATTGATTAGCGATACCAGATGGCGAGGGAAATAATTTTGAATTCTGGAGGCAAACATACATGTCCTTGTATATTACCCCCCTTTTCCAGGGGCTTCCACATTTCAATTATTCATTGTTGCCTTGATTCGGAAGGAAAGGGGATCTTGCAGTGAATTAGGTTAGTTTTCAGACTAGATTAAACTCTGTCTTCAATGTCTTTCTTGGTTTGACTTTCAGCAGATGATATCACAAATAAGAGGAAAAAGTTGGTACGATCAAACATCTGTAGGTATTGTAACCAAATTGTCAAAATATAAACCTGTA